CACGACTATAGATAATCAGAGAAAATCAGATGCAGAGAAAAGAGACAATCACTTGTGAAATCAACACAGAAAACCAGAGAACAGAATTTTGAAGCCAATGTGGTAATACAGGAATGGAAAGTAAATAGTGCAAAAATATTAAAAACAAAGAAGATATACTAAAATGAAAATAAATATGTGAAGAAAGGGTAAAAGAGAAGATGATTCTAGGGCAAAAAAAAATCAGATGCTACAGTGCTACTACATGAAAGATCCTAGCTAGAAAAAGGGAGGGGCAAAACAAGTAGCTTTTGTAGAACAGAGGAAAGCCAAAAAAAATCATAAATAAAAGCCACACTATCACAGTATATCATTACTGAGGAAAAAAACTGTAAAATAAATGGAGAAACATCAGCCTGTTTTGAGAAATAAAACAAGAGTGGTGACAATGTTGGTTGCAAAATGCACAGGGCTGATTCAAATGAAAATTCCAATTGTTAACTGGAACTAGCGGAACTGAAGACGGAGAAAATAAGATGAGCAAAGAAAATAAATTCTATCGTGGTCTAAGAAGTCAGCTGTACAAATGGAGAACTGAAAACTAACTTTGAGACTGATCAAACTGATCATTGCCATCTTGAACACTGATAAACTGGAAACCATCTGAGGACTGAGTAATAGCAGAAAGGAAGAAACTGCTTAGCAGTACTCAGAGGAATTCTGAAGCATGCAGAAATCTGAAAGAATATTAAGTTTGAAAGATTATATATAACTTCAGTAAGGAGAAATATTAAAACAGATATATAAACACAATAAAAATAGTCTTTGATGAAGCACTATAAACCAGAAATTGACCCTATGAAGTACTGAAGAATTTGAGATACCATCAAGTAAGTAATTGTCTATAAATGGTAGGGTCAAATATGAAGGATTTGGATAGATAGTAGCTAGTGAAAATAGTAGGAGTTTTGTAAGAGAATCAGATGCAATGATAGTAGAATGGGATTTGTGCTGGATTTGTGCTGCTAGAAAACTTGAAGAATCGAAACACAAATAAAAAACTACAAACATCTTTTATTTCTAACATGAACCTGCCAAGAAAGGCAGAGGAGAAGGTTGCACAGTTTGCATGGAAGTTTGCACATGGGAGGGCTCCTCCAAGGAGGTAACGTGGCCAATAGCCCAACTGAAGAGCCTCTACACCAAAGAATGCAGCATGGGAAATACACTGCAGTAGGAAACCACAGTGTAGTTACATAACTATAATGCCCTCAGCACAGAAACACATAAACTGTTGGAGTGGGACACAAGACGTAATGAAGACATGGAGATGTTGGAGTGGGCCCTGAGGAGGGCCATGCAGATGATCAGAGGGATGGAGCAGCTCTGCAATCAAGAAAGATTGAGGAAGCTGGGCTTCTTTGGCTTGGAAAAGGAAAGGCCTCATTGCACCCTTCCTGTAGATGAAGGGAGCAGGAGGAAGATCAATTTTTTACGTAGTCCAATCATGTCAGGACAAGGGGCAATGGCTTTAAACTAAAAGAGAGGAGATTTAGGTTAGATGTTATGCAGAAATTCTTTATTCAAAGGGTGGTGAGGCACTGAAAGAGGTCACTCAGAACAGCTGTTGGACCTACAGGTGTTCAAGGCCAGGCTGGATGGGGCCCTTGGGCACTCTGATCTAGTGGCTGACAACCTTACCAACAGCAGTGGGATTGGAACTAGATGAGCTTTAAGGTCTCTTCCAACCTAAGCCATACTATGGTTCTCCGTGATTCTATGGTTATGGATATGTAGTGTAAATTTGAATACCGACAAGCCAAAAGAAGAACTACACGAATGACACGTGTCAAGTCAGTAAGAAAATACACTATTCTGTGAAAAAAAGATGGGAAGCAAAGAGCAGCTTACAACTATGACATAGCAGTACTTCTAAGCAGGAAATATGCAAAGTAAAATGGATACAACAGTTAAAAAGTCATATAAACATCTTCCTAGCATTCCCAATACGAGTGATTAAGTTACATTACAATTACTACAAACTGTTAAAAATCCATTTATTTTATAAACACAGAATAAGACATTGAGATATTAATATAAATTAACTTCCACGCTTTCAATTCACAGATTCAATGAGATTTGAAAACCTAAGGTACAGGGAGTTAGAACAGTCCCTTGTCAAATGTATTAGTAAAATGCATTTTGTCCACATTATAAGTGATTCACATATGCATGTGTTTTGCAGCAATAATATGAATCTAAAGTCTTGTAACAGAAATGAATAATCATAACTGAAATTACTGGCAATGTAGAAATTAAGCAGAGTTCTCCATGCTGTTTTGGCAGGTCTGACTAACCCTGACTATCAACTTTTTGTGTTTCACTGAATGTTACTTGGCCATGTCATTGCGAAAACTTCAGTTTCCATGGAATATGCTTGACCTTTTGAAAGAGAGGAAGACTACTTCTACATCAACGTGCACTTCTTATTATTCCTCTATCTGTAGGCTCTGTTTACATGCAAGACCAGTGCACTCAGACTTAATTGTTTCTATTCCCTTCCAACCTACACATTTCTGGTGGAAGCTGCAGACAATGTAAGAGTCAAAGCAGAACTTCAAAAGAAGCAAATGGAAGGCTTTAAACAGTAGGCATACATTTATGATTTTTTTTCCTCACTCAAAATAACAAAGTGTACATCCATGTCGGGCAAGGGTGATTAAGGAGCTTAAATAGCAACTAACAACTTACTTACAAAGCATGGATGTTATGTAGAGGGAAAAAAAAAAAAAGAAAAAAACCTGTTCAGCTTAATATGCCATAGACAGCAGCAGTGCAGCTCATATTTTGACTTTTTAAGAGTCCTGTTAGCAAAGGAATCAGTACAGCCCTTCTCATTCACTGTAAACACTGAGAAGTTTCTACCTATATCTGCAGATGCATACTCCTAGAACACACCACAGCAGGGAAAGAAGCCTGACAGGATGCTAACAAGTACAAAACTACATTGATACAAAATTTTTGCCAGATATTCCAGCAACTAGTGCTGCTTAAAAGTAAGGAATATAGAATAAAACAATGAAAAGTTGAATAGAGAGCTAAGAAAAACAAAAGAACTGCAGAAATGGCATGTTGTAAAAATGGAATATGCTTCCCAGGATGAAGAGAATAAAATTCTATGAGGACAGGCTGAGAACTGGGGCTGTTCAACAGGGAGAAGGCTCTAGGGAGATGTTATAGTGGCCTTTCAATATCTAAAGGGAAAATTATAAGAAAGAACAAGACTGATTCTTTAGCAGCATCTGCCACGATAGAACTAGGGGAAATGGTTTCAAACTACAAGAGAGGAGATTCGGATTGGATTTAAGGAAGAAGTGGATGCCCCGTCCTTGGAGACGGTCAGGTTGGACTGGGTTCTGAGCACCTGATGGAGCTGTGGCTGCTCATTGCTGGGGAGTTGGACTGGGTATCTTTAATCCGACATCATCAATTCTGTGATTCTAAGAACTCAATGAATGAGCATTCCAAATTTCTGCAGTCTCACACTCACAAAGCAGGCATGCTGCAGATTCTTCCTAATGGTTTACAGCCTTGAAGTACTGTAGATTAAATCTGCAAAATGCAAATTAATCTCAAGAAAACTTATTTCAATCACCATCTTTATAATGTCTTGTGGCAGAAAGCATCCTTCTCATAGGGACAATATAATTCTGAGTCTATTTAAACTATCTGGTGGTTGAGATGTTCACAAGTGATTCTGACCTAAATAGGATCCTTTATGTCAGGGAAATCTCAGTATTCAAGCCTGAAGAAGCTTTAAAACTGTAATCATCACTTCTAAAAAAAATTCTAAGTATATTCACTAGAAACAAGACTGCATTGATGGTGTTCCACTCTGCACACAACAGTATGAAAAGCTGCTTCATTTTCAGGTTTAATGGGAAGAGAGAACAATCTCCCTGTGGCCTGGAACTTCTTAGATAATTATTATTGTTATTATCATAGAAGACTAATAGAAAATTAATATATTTCTAACGTACTTTATTTACTATACGGGCAGCACAAAGGCATGGGAGCAGCATTCTGAATCACCTTCTGATGTTTTTGTTCAGTGAACTCTACAAGAAGTTTTCTCCAAAGATTAAACTCAATTTTAGAATTAATTTCCTTCATCAGTATTCATGATTTTTGTTTGCATTTATTAAAATGTACGTAGTAAAATGTCATTAGCATTTGTTCCAAGAACTGGTTTCTAAGATTTAGCTCCATCTAATGAAGATGAAAGACATTACCTAGGAGACGAATATTGTCCAAAATCTCAGAGTACTAAAAAGAAAAAAGAAAAAAAAAAAGATCTGAGAGCTATGATTTCATGCAATTAATTATAAGAGAAAAGGAAAAGCATTTGAAGAAAATACATTCTCTAAGAAGCTTTAACCTCTGGGCTGCCTTCTTAAGTACAGTGTCACACACATTAGCACAAAATGTTATTTGTATTTGAATGGCATCAAGTGGTTTGTCAAACAAAGTAAATATGGAAAGAAACACAAGTAACAGGTCAGAAATTAATTGCAAAAAGCTTTCTAAGAGTAGCAGAGTGAAGGCTTGAACCAGGAGCTGAAGGAAGTGACCTGACAAACTCAGTGCACTGTAGTTTACTGAAAGAGCAAGGAAAGAAGGAGCCATCTTACTACTTGAAATACTGGTGACATGGTACACATAAAGAGAAAACTGAAAAAGGAAGGAAAGTAGCCCATTATGAGAGAGAAAGTGTTGCACTACAGAATCTTGACAAATACTGAGACAGTAAAAGCTACAAAGTAGAGGAAGATATATTAAATGTTTCAGGCCATCACACCAAATTTTACTGGCTTATTTTACTGGGAATCAAAGTCACCAAAAGTGAATGTATAGACTAGAAACAAAAATTAAGAACACTGCTTGCTATTAATAAAGATACTGGAAGAAATACCTTTGTAATTTAAAGCAACCCAGAAAAATGCATAAGCAGTCCTGCTCACCTGTCTTCACTAAAACGCCGACCAACCAAAATTTTACATTTGTCTGGAGGCAGACAAGCTGTTAGCAAAGGCACTGTCCTTAAAACCCGACTTTCCTGTAAAAAAGAAAAGTCACTTTTGAGTAAAATCAAGGAGGGCTTCTGTGAACTGTTAATATTGCTATCTACTTTCAAGATCTTTGACTACACACAGAGAACAACCAACAATAAAGTAACACACACACACACACAAATCAGTTTCATACATATTGCTTTTATCAAGAGCAAGGAATTTAATTTTGTCCTAAACTATGACCATTAGCAAGAGTTTGGGCTAGGTTATCAGTACAAAAAAAAAAAAACAACCATACATGGAATAATAACAAAATGTAGGCAAAAACAGCATTAACATCAAAGTAACAGGTTGGAGCATTAATTTCTCTGCGCTGGAAAACAAGGGGAGGGCTTCATTTTCACAGACAAACGCAAAAAAAAGATGAGCAAAAGGTGTGTCAAAATGGTGTAAAACATAAATATCTCCACTCTGCTACCAGTTCACAATAGCATAGTAGCACAACACTGAAGCTGCTGTGAGTGCTCCACCTCCTGCCATTCGGGCTGTGCAGAGCAGGCATCTGCCTACATCTTTGTTGCAGATAAGGAGAAGATTGCCATGGCTGGGAAGGGAGCAGAGGCTCTCCAGATCTCAAAGAGCATTCAAGAGAGCTGTGCTGGACTAAGGAATGCCTGCTTCACAAGACAGAGGGAAGAGGGAAGAACTGACAGGTGGACCAAACCATCGACATACTAAACAGAGAAATTTGTTTTCATACACAATGTAACTCATTGTTATCTAGACAAGAAGCATTGCAGATTGAGCTAGAATTTTTAGGACATCTTCAGTAAATGTTAAGAGTAGAGAGAATGTGTCAATTTGTGTTTCCTGGCAAAGAAGAGGGAACAAAGGTTTATCTTGAATTTAATGGAAGCAACACTGAAAACTGGAAGATGAAAATAAGTTTCAGGGGTTTTTTTTTCTAACAAGAGAAATAAAGACGTACATTAGCTGAACCTAGCAGAAGTCTAGACACTAGAGTCTGCATTAGGATTACAAAAACCCAAAACACTTAATGTATTCTCAATTTCAATGTCTTACAATTCAGACACTGAAAATCCAAAGTTCAGTCCCTAAGCCATGTGATTAATTAATAAAAAGCTGGGGAGTTGATCCATTTATATACGTATGAGTCATATGTCAACAGTTCAGTATTTGCAAACAAGTAATAGCCCTGACTAGTTCAGCTCATGATTTCTGTGGCTCTTACTCTCCACAAGTACCAACGTGCAACCACCTATAGCCCTTACATCATCAAAATGCTCTCAAATTAGTTCTGTGAATCTTTACATCACTGTTGACTAAAACCTTCACTAATTTTGCTTCTTCTGCTCCATACCTACTGATTCTGTGAAGTATAAATAAACCACCACAGAGTTACAGGAGTAAGCTGTCTTACTATAAGCACCACCACTTTGCACTGCTGCAGCAGTATGATGTGTCCTAGGGACAGATGAAGATCAAAGTATCTGGTGAATGAAGTGCAAGAAAAGTGGTTGAGAAATATCCTTCAAACTACCATCGATTACTATCCTGACAAAGCTGAATAAGTCACCATTGGCAGTACAAGAACACAAACACCCTGATTCATACAAACGTTAAAAGCAGCAAGAAAAAACTGGAAGAAAATTAATTCTTTATCTCTAAAAAGCAAAAATTTTAAAAGCTTATCAGTCATGGGAAAGCCATTCAATCATTCTCTTCAATGTTGTATTGTTTCAGAATTACCTTTCACCAAATAAATGCATTCTCTTACCAACAGGGAAAAAGTTGCAGATTTCCAATCTAAAAACCAATCTATGTTTACAAGAAGATATAATACAGAAGTCAAAACTGGAAAGAATTGTTAGAGAAAAGGAGCTTACGAACAGCTAAACAAAACTACCTCTAAAATACGTTCCATTTGTTTAGAATTCACATCACAAAAATGCCTGTATTTAGCTATTTCATCTACAGCTTGTTAGCATATCAGCTACTTTCTATTTTCTGCTTTGAAAGAGAACAGTTATTGTCTCCTTTGTTCTTCACAGCATCATAAATTTAATGCACAATTCTTTGCCTAATCATTATTTAACAACCGAAGTATATCTATACAAATAGGTTTGAAGAAGTTGCTTTTAGATTGCTTTTTTTCCTTTTATGGAAATTCATGAAATTTTTTGGTAACACTGCAGGGTCGTTCTACCATGAAATTTTAACTAATAAAAACATTTATTCGAAGCAGTAAATACACTTCATTTTCTCCTGAACTTGTAAAACAATTAGCAAATTGTATTTTATTCTTACCATTCAATAAAGAATGTTATTAGATCCATATACAAGCTCACTAAATACACGTTTTCTTCACAGGTGTAGAAAAATGAAAATTCTTACAATTCTGGAAAGAAAGAAGGCAGAGAAACAGAACAACCTCAGCAGTAGTCTAAGGGCCCTGTTATAACCACCACCCAAGCTCCAGAAAGTATACAGTGGCCTCTGCTCCACTGCAGATCACTCCATGGACAATAAGGCAGAGGTAAGAAAAAGCTGCACAGCAGTTTGTACACACCTGACCATGCCACTGACCGTCAGGACTGCAAATGAAGGCATGGGAGAGAAAAAAGATGAGAAAAGCAGTTTACCTATTTGTATTTATTATATTCACGTGTATGTGGAAAGAAGAAAATAGCAGAAATCATACTAGGCAAATGTGCTCTTCACTGCTCCACTATTCCTGCTGGGAGGGTTAAGATCCCTGGTTTGTATCTATTTTATTTTTAAATTACTCTCATTATTAACAGTAGTGCACTAACACTATTCCAAAAACTTTTGCACCTAGACATGCAACGCTGAATTATCTTCACAAATCAAATTTGAATTAATCTATAGATCTATTATGCAAAGATGAATGCTGGATGGTAAGATTCATAACCTGGGATCTTAGGGAATCCTTGCTGCCACGCATTAGGAGACTACTCTCTTTCACAGCACCTAACGTTTGTGTGAATGTATCCAACAGCATGCCTTCTGGATTGAAGGACAGTGGAGGAGCAGGAAATCCTGCTCTCACTTTCATGCTTTACCCTCTTGCCCAAATATAAGTCACAATGCAATAATCACTCCACAGTTGGTGGTCTACTTACTGCACTGGAAACTGCAAAACCCAATAAATAACAAAACAGGTGGAGGATGAAAGTCATCACTGATGCACAGCAGGAGAAATACATTCTCTGTTTGGTTAGTTTAATGATACTTCTGAAACGTACTTCTATAATGGCATGGCAGCCTGAAGGATCAGATGCTGTTACTACATTCAAAAGGTTTATCTGCCTCGAGGTCTGACTGAGTTTTGATTAGAGGCAGCTACAGCACAAGGAAGCTACCCTTTAGCAAGTATGCCTCTGCCATTCTCATATCAAAAGAATCACTTGTGATCAAATAAAGTCATCATAAGCCATTTTCTTAGCTTTTCAGCTTTTGTTTGGATTTGCCTCCTACAAGCCAAGTTCCCTTCTACAGCCAGGTAGTTAATCTTTTCTGCTCTGATGTCTTCATTATTTGGATAGCACTGCTCTAACCACTTGTTTCCATGAACATATACCTGTGCAACAGTTGCACCCTATCGTAACAGAAAGCTGCTAATTAAACCTAACTAAAGAAAGATAGCATGTCAGATGGATGATCAGGAGATCTAGAAAGACCATGTAAACTTGTTCTAGTACTTTTCAGCACAATACGTTCAACACAATTCAAATATCAGTTCATGGCTCTCTGGTACATTTTGCTACTTTTTTCCAAAACTTGTGGTCCAGCACAATACTGCATTATTAACAGAAAATAGAACATCAGTATAAACGCCTCTAATAGCTAAATCAAAAATCAAGAGCCCATTAAACCCCTGAAGGCATGAAATGGGCAAAATGCATAAAAGGATGCATTGTATATAAAGTCCAGTCCAGGACACACTTTAAAGCTACTCAGAGTCTCTGAAAAGCAAAAGTACCTTTACCAGGAAACAATGCAAACTGCAAAGAAAGCTGTTCCTTCAGTAGCTCTTTCATGTGCTTCACTTCAATAAGTGAAACAAAACAAAACAAAACAAAAAACAAAAACAAAAAATCACAGAAACAGATTATTTTGAAACTAAACTATAAATTTCCATTATCTAAATACTTCGAGTCACTACCAAGATGCATTGCTTAATTCATATTTGTAAGAGAATAATTCTGTGTTGTATCAAGATTCCCTCCTGCAACAGTTTGTGCCACACCAAGCAGACCTCCAAATTTAATGGGATTATCCAAATGAAGAAAGATGTCTTGTGTATATGAAAACCACAGAAGTCAAGCATGTTTTCAGAAGTCACCGTAATTGGGATGAACTGGTACCTCAGCTCTCTGATTTTAAAGGAAAAATTACTGTGTTAAAAACATGATTGCTTCCTCTTGTAGACCATTTGCTGCACTAAGATAGTAGCTGAACTCTTGCATCTTTACTCACCTCTGCAGGATGCTGAATTATATACAAGCAGGTGGAGATTTTCAGTGGATGTATCGGCAGGAATGGACACAAACACACCTTCTGAGGGCGGCTACACGACAAAACAGAGGGGAAAACAATAAAATTAATCAGCAGTGGCATAAATATATTGCACCAACCCTTACCCTGCCCCAAAAGGGCCACTAAGGACTCCCTCCTCATGAAACAGTACCTTGAAACATGACAAAAAATTCTGAGATCTCTGCTGCTTTTAAAACAGAAAGAAAAGAAGGTTTTCATTCAAACTGAATTTTGAAAACGTTGTTCAGACATCTTCTGTGGTCTGGTTAGCATTAAAGCACTTTCATAACCCTTTCATCACCTTCAGGAGGAGCAACCATACCCCAATTATATGAACTTGTTACTGCATTTTATACCAAGTTCCTGTTTCAAGTTAGACAGAATGCTGTAACAGAGTATATAATTAATACAGTTGAAGGACTATTCATAGTATAATATAATATTTTAAGGTATACTCACAACAAACCCCAAAAATATGCTGTATATCAAGTTTTTATCATTTCATTCGTTCTGAAACACACAGCAGACAAGAAGTATGAAAACAAACAGCACCATGCATTTCAAGTTGAAGTCCAATTGAAGTCTGAAAAACTAGCACAACTATTTGATGTTTTTTGGTGCATTGCATGCATCGTTAAAATTTTTAACGGGAGAATCGTATTCAAATAAATTAGCCTACATATATTTGGCATTAAACTAATATGCTTAAGAGTCAGGAATAAACAGAAGCGAAGAATTAAGCTTAAAGCTGCACAGAATCACTGAAGTTGTTACAGCATACACAGAGCAATTACTGGAAAAACAATGGACTTCCTTAACGCTGATCTGATTATCATTACTCACAATTCACTTTGCCTGCACAACAAACCCTCCAAGATGAAGAAAATAAAGTTGGGATTTTCAGCTGAATCCAAGCAACTCCAAGCACACCTCGACCTGCAGCCTCCTCCTGATTTTTGTCGTTAGCAGTTTTTGTGTTGATCACACACGAGACAACGTAAGAAGCCACTGCAGCAGATGTGCTGTGTTGAAGTTAATTCTCAGGTCCAGGCCAAGCCCGTGGCCAGCCCCACTGACACTGCAATGCTTGCCCACAAGAGCACTCCACTAAGCAAGCTAAGTGATCTAACCCAGCATAACTGTTCTTTACTCAGACCATCTTAAAATAAAACATTAGCTCTTACCTGTAAATGGCAACGCAGTAAAAAAGGCAATAACAGTGGATAAATTGGCCTTTAACAGCTTGCAGGTTGCGTTAATTTAAGATCCCTGCCTCTTTCTAGCCCTAACTACTGCCATAGAAAGATTACTTTCCCTTGCCAAGGGGAACCAGTTAAAAGTCATCTAACAATAGCCAAATCTGAACTGAGCATGACGGAGGAGGGGAAGAAATTGCTACTGATCAAAGAAATTATTTTAAAATATTTATACTAAAAAGCTCATGAACAAAAAAAAAATGACAAAATGGAATTATTCCCATATGCTCTTCCAATATAATGCTCCAAAAACCTGCCTTCTTTCTTTCCTTTCCATTTCTAGAACTGGCATTTTCCCCTTGACACGCCTCCATATACGAGGAACATTCTGGGGTATCAGTTAATTACTAAAGGCTTTGAAACAAAAATGAAGAGCTCACCAACTTCAGCATTCAGTGGGGTCTAGCAATGGCCTTCACTCTGAGCCACAGGAAACCAACCCGGCTTCCAGATCTGACGAGATCACAGGATCTCCAATACTGTGACAGTGCCTTTCTTCCAAATTTTAATCTTCTCATGTAGATAATTTAAACAAACACATCTGCAAACAGTTTCTTAACAACCTGGAGGCAGCAGACACTCCCACGGGCTTTTTGATGCCTGCACCCAGGGCGCTAAATAAAAGCTCATCCTCTTTTGATCAACATATTCCCTTGTTTCTCTCAAAGTGAGATCCCTTAGCTTCTCCTCATTACTGAAACGAAACCACCCCATGCCTGGTTTCATTAGCAAAAGAATTCTCCCCGCGACTGTATTTTCTTTTGAGGAGAGATTAGGATGTGAAAATCTACTACATAAAGGTACCAAAATAGTCAACTGGCAACTCTGATACAAAGAGCTGCACTGTTCCCTAGCTTTTATTAGCAGGCAGAAACAGTTTCTGATGGTTTCTGACCTCAGGGCATTTACTATTACAAAGTTGGACAGATATAATTTACTTGTTTTCAAGTCTCCAAGTTTCCCTTTTTCTGGTGTATGTTCTTTGTATTTTCCGTGGCTGGCTCATGTTCTTCACGGGTTGTTTTTTAGCGTTATTAATGTTGTAAAAAAGGTTCTAAATCATCACAGAATCAACCATACTTTGATTTGTAGGGAGCAGAGCACACACAATTACAAACAGAATACTTTCCAATATAACTTAATGGCATACATGTGTATGTACATTACTTTTAAGTACTCAATTAGGCGCCCAATTATGTTGAATGGGTAGGGTACTTTTACAACCCCATCCTAGGAGCACAAAGACTTATTTCTGTACTCTCACCTTGGCATGTAATGGTTATTGTGCTGAGACAAAAAAAATAAAAAATACAACACGCACTTTATCCCTACACGAAATGTATGTTATGAGTTTATACCAGTAATCATTTAGGAAACTGTTCTGAACAGGAGAAGTCCCGTCCCACTACCACAAAAGCTGCCTTCACTCTCAGAAAGGCCACCCAGGCTGAAAAGGCTTTTTGTGCTTTTTTTCTGTTGAAAGCATGTGCTCTGTCGTGTGCAATGTATGGCACTGATGTTACAGAAGAGCAAGGGCAGAGCACCAGGAGACTCAGTTAATGACAACTATAAGTTTTCATCCATTTCTGGAAATGAAAGCAATCTGCACCAGACTCCAGGCAAAACAGCAGTATTGAGAATATGATAGAAAAGCCCAGGAGTAGGAAGAGGAATTCGAAGGAGAACAATTTTTATGGTAATATTCACCTGTAAGCAATTTCACTATAGCTCAAAGCTGTCCAACATCTTTCTACCTGTTTTTCAGCATTTCTCGTTTAAAAACTCATGACAAAGCAACCAGACATACTGGCAGGACTCAAAAAATTACTCTCTGTCTTCATATACAACAAAAAATCATGCGCTGTGCTCTCACTGCTTTCCTTTCATTCTTTACATCTAAATTATGATGTTCTGCTCCAAAATAATGCGGTCTGTTTTCCCAGCAAAAACTGAAACAAGACAACAGGCTGTGCATTGTGATGACCAGTTTCTAGGTAGTGGTAGTCTAGAAGTGAATATCACAGAATCATAGCATCATTATGGTTGGGAAAGACTTCTAAGAACACCTAGTGCAATCATTAACCACCACTGCCCACAAATCAGTGTCACCAAACGTGTGCCTCATCTCCATGTTTCAGTGGCTTTCAACACGGTCTTCAAAGTCTTCTTCAAGGCTTACCTGAGGAGTAGCAAATATAGCTGGTCTTCAGCTGTAATGTTGTTCATTACACTTGATTGATTAAGCGGTCACATGTTAAAAGTCAAGGTAACTGTGCATGCTGTTGACTTGTATCTGCAGTTGACAATTTGTGAAGGCAGTACTGAAAAATACCTTTGATTTAGGCTTTCCACAATTCAGTTTTAACACAATTCAGTACTTCAAGGAAGGTAAGCAGAAAGAAACCTTTCAATTACCACTAAGATGGTTGCTGTGAGTGGAGTGGCTGTGAGGTTTCTTATCTGGAGGATTACAGTACTTTGTTTTTATTTTTCAACGTTCTGCCTGTGGAACATCATTCCTGAATTCATAAGAAGAAATACTAAGGAAGAATTTACTGCAAGAGAAAAACATGAGGGTGAGAGCTGTCTTAGCACACGTCACACACAGACAACCAGCATAGAGTGTGCATCCATGGATGTATCCTCATGCTTCCAGCAGTGAGTGCAGTGGTTCTCTTGGGACTAATCTTCATCTGTGCCAAGAATGCAAGGACAAATTCACAACAGCTACATGTCTGCCAGTCCTCCTCTCCTTTCCCAGCCAGGACGGTGGGAGTTTGCACAGACTGAAACCCAAACATCTGCCATCTGGCACCTCTTTTAGGCTGCTTTCCCATCCATTGGCTCCACCAAAATTACAACACAGACATAAATGCTGCTGATTGGAGTGAGGCTATGAAATACACTGCGAACAGAAACAAGAGGAAGATACAAGAGAAACAGAAAGCATATCTTCCAACTGGCTAACTTTTGATTTCCACTCAATTGCTGAGTGGCCAAGCAACCATGCCTCTGCCACACACTGGGCTTCACCCAAGTGAAAAGGGTGGTAACTGAGACACAGGTGAGAGGGCAGCAGGTTTCTACAGCTTACAGTGTTTGAGAAGCATAATGAAACAAAGACTGAGGACAGTGATGGTATCTCACATTTTCTAGGTGATTATGTGAACTAATGAAAGCAAAAGCATTTACAGGATGGGGGAAGCAGAGACGCCTCTAGTGAGCTCTGTGAACAACAGCTAGAAACAAAAGGATACCGAACGTGGGTAGGAGAGTTCACATTCCATTTTTGGAGGCTGAAAATGGGAGAGTTAAACTCCCAAAAGCAGAGACAAGCACATCTGGTCAAAGAGAAGAGGGACATAAATATGTTTGTTCCCATAGCTCAGTCGAGTGCAGGTAAATGGCATCTAGCCCTGGTGTTACTTTCCACTGCCAGGGGCCCTACTGCAATATCAGGGTCAACTCTTCACTAAAGAAGAAGGAAGAAGTACAATTTTTAAATGCCAGGGTTTCTTCTCTGTGATAACACTGTATAAATGCAGTGCCACGCTGGTACATGAAAAAGTCTGATCAATAAAAACACTTATCAAAGAGCTTCATGGACAGAGATTTTACCCTGTGCATATTATAAAAGTAAAAAGAAGTCAGATCATATGCCAGTCGAGTCTGGCAGTAGCAGTGCCACTCAAGCCAGATTTTTCAGCTTGGTGTCCTTAGGCAAGCAAATCAAACAGCAGGTACTTTGTGTTACAACCAGCTTTACTTCTCTGTA